TCTTTCCTCTGCGCACCTCCAGCCCTGAGTGCTTAGGGGTCTGGTATGGCCCACCATGAGGCTCTAAGTCCGTGCTCCATGCTGAGGCTCTCTGCCAGCCCCTGCCCCCAGGGAGGGGGCAGCATATGTCCAGGAAGGTCGAGGGGGCTTGTGTGTCTGTCTGAGACTCAGTCTGAGAGACACAGGTGAGAGACAGGTGGGTCTGCCCCAAACACCAGGGAGTAGAGACAGACAGGCCTCGGTGAGACACAGAGGTGAGAAAGCCTGGACACACACAGCCCTGAGAAAAAGGAGTCGGGTGGGTGAGCTGCCTCCTGCCTACTGGGCCTTGGTCTGTTCGTCTGTCTGTTCATCTGTGGATCTGAGTGTCCCTCCTGCTTAAGATCTGGAGGCCGAGCTGTCCCTGGACCTACCCCGTCTGTGCCCTCTACTCCAGCCAGTGGTTCCTCGCTAACCATAGTCAGGCAAATCTGACTATGACACGCCTTGCTTAAAGCCCTTCGTGGCTCCCCAGTGCCTTTCCAGCCGGAGTCCCAGCTTCTCTCAGTCAAGGGCTTCTGGTCCCCGTACTCCCTGGCCTTCATATTTAGGCCCTTGCTCACACTGGGCGCTCCCCTAGACCTCACTCCACCGAGCAAACACCTTCTCATCATCTCCTCCACAAAGCTTTCCTGTCCCCTCCGTGGTGACCATCTTCATTGATGCCGCTGCCGTGAGGCATTGTCTCCCCCATCACCACCTCCAGTGTGGGAGTCGTCTGGGGCCTGGTACAGTGTGGCCACTCAGGATGTGTTTGATGAACTGAGCAGCTCTGCCTGAGAAGGACAGGAGGGCTCCCTGGAGGAGGCAGGTGTGGGGGAGATGCCTGGTGAGCATGGTCTAGGACTCTGGGCTGGCCTTGGGGAGCAGGACAGAGGAGGCCACCCAGAGGTCTGTGTCCCGATTAAGGGGCCCATCCTCTGCTCCCCAAGAGCAGGCCCTGGTTTGAGCCCCCCAGCCTCATCTCAGTGCCCAGTAGAGGGCCCGCCCAGTGGTTGTCTGGAGGTGATGGCTGAATGGAGAAACCACAGATAGAAGGTCTGGGGTGCCGGGGCCCTGGCTAAGAGTGGCCCCACCTGGTCCCACCCCAGCAGGCAGGAGGGCGGGGTGGGTGGTGGCCCCGCCCGGTTTCCTCCCCATGGGGCAGCAGAGGCCAGACTCGGTCCCAGCGGGGTAGGCAGACAGGCATGGGCTTTGGCAGCATGAGGCGAGGGGCGAGGGGCCTGAGGGGCAGAGACAGGCCGGCCACCCCGCAGTGCCTGCAGACCCAGTGCTTCGACCCGCTGGTTCGCAAATGTGTGGCCTGCAGTCTCCTCCGGACAGAGCCTAGACCGGGTAAGAGTTGAGCCGCGCTGATGGACGGCACGCAGGGCGGCCCTGAAAGGAGAGGGAGGGTTCTGCCAGGAGGCCCCCGCCCTACCAGAGTCACAGGCATGACCCCCACCTGTCCCAGGACGTCGGGGGGCATCGCGTTAACGGGCGAGGAGGGGGGCCTGTGGGCGGGGGCCTGGATGGGGACCAGCCATCGCCGCGTGGCCCTCACGGCCCCCTCTCTCCCCCTCCCCCTGCCCTGCCCCGTCCGGCTGTCCCTCCCCTCCGCGGCCCAGCCTCGCCTCCCTCCGACCCTCCCCCTCCCCGCTCGCCTCTCCCCTCTGCCCCGTGCTCTGCCTGCCCGTCCCCTCCAGCAGACGGCCCGAGCAGCCTGGCGCCCGGGACGGCGCTGCAGCCGCAGGAGTCGGTGGGCCCGGGGGCCACGGCCGAGGCCGCGCTGCCGCTCCCGGCGCTGCTCTTCGGCGCCCCCGCGCTGCTGGGCCTGGCACTGGCCCTGGTGCTGCTGGGCCTGGTGAGCTGGAGGCGCCGACGGCGGCGGCCCGGCGCGGCGGCTGCCCCAGAGGCCCTGGAGGCCCCGGACGGAGACCAGGATGGTAAGTTCCGCGGCTAGGGGAACCGAGAGGGCTGGGGGCCGTCGGAGGGGAGACATGGCCCTTGAGGGGCAGGGGCAGGGTAAAGGCGTGGGGGAGGTCTGAAGCGGAGGCAGGTCTCTAGGGGGTGATGCAGACAGAGCGGGTGAAAAGTGCGCTCTGAGGGTCTCAGGCTGAGCAGGGAGAAATAGTCCTGTCCCAGACCCTGGTCCAGGCGAGGGACACAGCTCTGGCGTCCCAGACTTGTGTGAGGAAGAGACACAAGGCTGGGGAGCCCGGTGGAGGGAGGGGGTCTGTCCTGCCCTCTCTCTGGACAGCCAGACTGGTTCCCACCCCTCCTCACCCTCTCCCATTTTGCCAGCGCTCTCAGCACTTCCTGTCCTGAGGGCCGATCATGTGCCACCCTCCCCAATCCCTCCAGTGGGGCTTCATCAACTGACTTCTCTCTCATAAGTCAGAGGGCTGTTCCTCCAGGGATGCTTCCGGAACAGGGATGGGGGAAGGCTGTGGCCCAATCCTGACCCTGCATTCCCCTCCCACCTCCCCAGAGCCCCTGAACAGTGACAACGTCCTCTCCCTGGGAACCCTGGATGCCACAGCTCCCATCTGGCTTCCGCCCAGTGAAGACCCAGCTACCACCCCACCTGCCCACAGCGTCCCTGTGCCAGCCACAGAGCTGGGTTCCACTGAGCTGGTGACCACTAAGACGGCCGGCCCCGAGCAACCGTAGCGACGGAGCGGGCAGGAGGTGGTCCCTGCCCTCCCTGCGGGCCATCAGCCAGGGGCTTGGGGATTGAATTCGGTTCTTCACCCCAGCTCTCACCCGTCCCTTTTCTGGGAGCCATGCTGCTCCCCGGCTAACCCTGCAGAACCACAGGCACCGCAGACCACAGGGTTCAGACTGCATGGCATCGTATGGCATGTTAGCATTTGGCTTAAAATCATACCATCTATGGCAGCCCTCAAAGGTCGTGGCTGAGCTCTGTGCTTTTGAGTGGTTGGGGTACTCTGAGTAGGAGGTTTTTTTCTTCTTTTTTTTTTTTTTGCCATATGTGGGCCTCTCACTGTCGTGGCCTCTCCCGTTGCCGGACGCGCAAGCTCAGCAGCCACGGCCCACGGGCCCAGCCGCTCCGCGGCACGTGGGATCCTCCCGGACCGGGGCACGAACCCGCACCCCCTGCATCGGCAGGCGGAC